GCTGTGGTCTTTCTAGTGAGGACAGAACATTTTACAATCCAGGCAAAACAATATTTGTTATACTTCAGGCTTAAGCTAAATTCAATTCATAAGTGATCTAATAACAGACATTTATTTAGACAAAGTAAGGAAAGCCATAAACAACTAAAAAAGCAAGGGACCATCAATAATTGATTAAACTTTAATAACAAGTATGACTATTATAATTATGTATAAATGTGTTATGTTATATTCTGGGACTTGACGAAGTGCTGGATTGTAAAGTGTGATGGGTATTCATGGCACTTTAGCAGATATTGATGACATCTTATCGTCTGGTGCCACAGTGTGGTGGGTGGAGACTGAGCATAATAGATTATACTGAACAAAGATATGAAATACTGCTCGGAAGTATATTTACAAATTGAGGGCTGAGAAGTCCAGAGCACAGGATCTTGTGTACTCGGACACAGAGTGAGTGGCTGAGAGCAGCAGCCGGTCTGGGTTTAGGATTATAGGACAGAGGGTCTTCCTCCAACAGTTCATCCACCTCACTGTAAACAATCGGCGCGGGATGCAGAGAAGAGTATGGTTGGCTGAAGCCAGCTCGACTGTATTCAACACTAACACAGAGAGATCGAACCCATGACAGCGTCTAGAATGTCAAACACGACCGGGTGGTTGGAGGAGCTGAGAGGAGCCGAGAAGAGCTGACAGGAGCTGACCCTTCTCCTCACACGGGCTAATGTTTACTTTCTCGTCTCGCTGACACTCTCCTGCTAACTCGTTAGCTCATAATTCGGATATATAGCAAAACGAAACCAACCCAACTTCTACGTAACGCACTCGAAGTACAGTCCGTTATGAATAAAATACAAAACAACACTGGCTGCTTCTTTAAAGAGGAGACACCCACTACAACAAGAACTCTCAACGGCCGCCGTCATTAGGGTTAGTTGTTGAGCTCGACTCAGTTAGCATAGAGCTAGCGAAAACACCATTTAAAGGCGGAGACCACTGTGGCTGGCCGGCCAGCAGAGCAAATGACCCCTGTGTGCTGTGAGTCTACGGGAGACTGTCGATATGTCCACACAACGAGTTTCCTCCGCTTACCTTGTTTTGCTTTTGGTAACGGAAAGTAAGCCTCACTGCTAGCACTAGCTGGGCCTGATGCTAGCTACTGTTAGCCGAGCTGTCGGGACCAGAGCGCGGACTTCGCTCGTGTGAACAGGCGCTCGCTGCTGCTCCGTCCGACGGGAATCGCCGTAACGACACCTGGAGACCGTAACGCGTGAGCCCGGAGCCGGTGGACGCCGCTGCAGACCTCCAGGTTGTGTTCACACCTGCTAGCTTCTTGCTATCCTGTAGCTTTCCGGCGCGCCGCCTCTTCTCTACAACCAGAGCGCAGACGTTTGTGACGTCATGAGGACAAACCCCATCAGAATGATCGCATGTGTGACATCATCACAGTGAAGACAGGCAGAGCCGTGTGGACGCAAATGTTAGGATCGTAAGAAACCTTTGTGATGGTTTATTGTTTGGCTATGAACAGTCTGTGACAAGCATTGAATAATGTGAGGAAAGCTGCTCCCTATGATTTATCCCATCTAATGAAAAGCCATCTTCATTTTTATAGTACTGAGAAAAGAATGAGGATAAGTGGTATTGACCGAATCTAAATACTAAATGCAACAGTAAACATATAAGTAATACATTCATGAAAAAATGGACATACTGATCATACCCCTGCATTATACACTGCTCAAGGGAACAATGAAGGGAACACTTAATCATCACAGTACAACACCAACTCGATTAAACTTCTGGGACAGGAAACTCCATTAGGAAGCGTAAGCGGTTGTGAATCAATTTCACCTGCTTAGGTGCAAATTGAAAGTAACAAAAAGGGGACCGGAGAGGAACCAGCAAGACAGATTGCTAAAGATCGGTTTTCCCTCCTTATACTTCCTGTTTGATTTTTCTTGAGTTTTGTATTTTGTTCTTGGCCATTCTTACGACGTATGATAGCATGAGGCGGTACCTGCAGCCCAATCAGGTTGCACAGGTAGTCCAGCTTCTCCAGGATGACCCATCTATGCGTGCCATCGCAATAATTTAAGTTTGCTTTGTGTTTTCCAAGCACAGTCAAAAGAGCATGTAGGGGATACCAGGAGACGGGCCATTACACAAGAAGAGCTGGACAGGGCTGTAGAAGGTCAACAACCGCACAGCAGGACTGTTATCTGCTCTTTTGTGCAAAAAGGAACAGGAGGAGCAGTGCAGAGCAGCCAGAGCCGGACAAAATGACCTCCAGCAGGATACTGGTGTGCAAGTTTCTGAGCAAACTGTCAGGTTCACCACTGGTGCCCCGTTCTCTTCACAGATGAGAGCTGGTTCATAATAAGCACACTTGGCAGGCGTGAAAGAGTCAGGGAATGCTGTGGCAAATGCCTGCTACATCATCCAGCATCATTGGTTTGGTGGTGGGTAATTGATGGTCAGTGGAGGCATAGAGGGTTGCACAGACCTCCATGTGTGAGCCAGTGGTACCTTGGCTGCTGTTCAGTGGTCGGATGAAATCCTCAGAGTGACTGTCAGACCTCACAGTGGCGCACTGGGCCCTGGGTTTGTTCTGTGGCAGGACAATGCCCAGCCTAATTTGGCTAGAGTGTGAAGGCAGTTCCTGGATGACAAAGGCATTGATGCCATTGACTGGCACTCACATTTCGCAGGCCTGAATCCAATTGAGCGTGTCTGGGACGTTATGTAATGGTGTATCCAGTGCTGCCAAGTAGCACCACAGACTGTGCAGGAGCTCACTGATGCCCTGATCCAGGTCTGGGAGGAGATCCCCCTCAACATGAATATTTTGTTCATTGAGATCCTATGTGTGAAGTTGTTCCCTTACATTTTTGGAGCAGTGTATAGAAGATTGACCTGCAACATCTGGTATTGTAATTATTTCTTTGTGACTCATAGACTTAGAGAAAACACCATAAAAGATAAAAGATTGTCTTCAGTTAACCGTCACTGTGCATTGACCTGAATCTCCTGAACACAGCTCCTCCTTGTAAGATTATTAATAATCTTCTAGATTCATTTACTACTAGCTATGGCCTGATCTATCAAATGGAGATACAATGAGATGTAACTAACCTTAGCTCTTCAATAACTTTACTTCCTCCAGCCTTTATAAATCAGGACATCAGTTTCCACAGATAAGGATGTTGTTTCAGAAAGACAGTGGTGCCAGGTAACTTAGATGATTTACTGAAGTTCTGTACTCAAGTACAAATATGCAGTACCTTAACTTTAGTATTTCCATTTTATGCATCTTTATCTCTACTCCATTACTGTGCATACTGTAAAAACATATTTTTGTGATTGCTGAATTATGATAACATAATACATTATTGAATGATTTTTTATTTAGAAAACTAATGATGATCTTACAGACGTTCCATGTAGACATTAATACATGATAAAGACACAATATATGATACTTAAATACATTTATCAAACACATGAATACTTTACCCCGTGCAACATTTTCAGTGCAGGAACTTAAATGGTGATGTAGTGTTGTTGTGTTACAGCATTAACTTCTTGAGTTACCACTTAATTGAAGTAATAATAAGACTTACTCCACCACTGCAGGAAATGAGCCATTTCACAAATGTAATTTTTCAGTTCAGTTTAAACGACACAAATGAAACTCCACTTATCTTTGTTTCCAACAGGAGTTTACAATATCCTAACCCAGACAAACACCCTGTTCGTACCTGGTATTAACAAGTCCCGGGTGATCCAACCACACGTGAGCAGATGCAAACACACCCGAGGACACATTCATATCTGATCAATGTGTCAGGATGAAGCTTTTATTTCTTCATTGCTTAAACAATCTTCATTGAGTTTAGGCCCTAATTTTATAGGGAATGATTTTTTTGTTAAAATTGAATCACTTTGGTCAACACATGTTTTAACTCTGTTGAACCTGAAGTGAAGGGCTTTAACATGTGGTACATTCAAAGCTGAAGAAGCCAGTGAAATCTCTGACTTTAGCTGGTTTTGGGTGTCTGTGGTGACATTCTCTTGCTGGTGCACAAGGAATGCTGTGTCATATGTCAGCAATGACTGTATTGCCAGAACTAGAAATGGGAGTGACGATTATGACAGAGAGAAAGCTACAGTAACTAGGAGTATGACGGAAAAACCTAGGAAGCTTTAAAAAAAAAGAATTCTGTTGCTTCAAAAAAGAAATGATTAATTAATTAATTAATTATTTTTATTTCCCCCCCAAAGATGTCAAATTGTGTCATGAGATCAACGTTGTGCCTGTTGGTTGATAGACATCATACAACGGTTTTAGTCCTCACACAAAATCCAATATGTAATATTAAATGTTCATGATTAAGTACACAGCTTTACAAGTATCTAAATATAAAAAAATTACATTCAAAAACTAAGCTTGGCTAACTCACTTGGACTGTGTGTGTGTATTCGGAGGCTTTGATCAGATATGATTGTCAGTGACCAAACAAGCCACCACTTCTCATCAGAGTCCGAGTTAAATGTTGCTGAATCGTGATTGGTCCTGTATCTGGCACTGTGAACCAGTGAGTACAACACTCATCAATCTCTGCATGTTAAACAACATGTCCTCTAACTTACACTGACAGTTAAAGTTATGTGAGTTTCCATCAGACAGAAGCTTTCTGGAAGTTTTACCACATTCAATGTAAATTTGCTTAAACCAACCAAAATGTGCTGCTGCAGGTCAGGTAAGAGGTAGTAAAGGGTTTTGAGTGGAGCACTGCTTTGTTTTTAGCAAACACAACTGCTGAGACAGCAGCAAGATAGAATACACTATTGTTCTATTTCAGCAGAACCCCCCCCCCCCCGCTCTGTCCCTCGATCCACCTGTCTTAAATGTTGTTTTTTTTCCTTGACAAGCACTGTCAGATGAAAACTGTAAGTGCACTCAAGTGTTACTGGGAAAAATGACAATGCAACAGAGAAAATATTGAATCCCTTTTTATTTAATAAAACAAGAAAACCGGTAATGTCTCACAGACAGTTGCTGCCCTTCGTTTAGACAAAGGCTTCTACTCACATCTCATTACAGAAACCTGCCTGTGAACATCAGTGACAGACGCAGCGCAACTTTTTGAAACTCATTTCCATTTGTTAATTTACGCTTACAATCATGTTCAATTCTTCCTTCAATCATCTCATGTCAGTTTCACATTGTGTATGCACAGCTAAGAACAACAGAAATTCAATATAAGAGGGGAGAGCATGTGAAATGGGAAATCTAAGATTAGAGATCAAGGAGAGAGCTGTCAAAGCATTTCACACCAGAGACTTTTGTTCAGACATACTGCAATACTTCCCAAACACACGTTTCATGTCACACTAGCACATGGGTCCTAACTGTTCACACTTGCTGCAGGCCTTTAACTGACAGGTCTGACTGCCAGAGCCAAACAACAACACTGACTCAGAAAGGACGGAAGCAATAACTTACACATCAGCTTGCCAATTATACTTTTCTCCCGCCTTCTCCTTACTGAAGCATGCTGCTGATGTTACATTAGCACATTACTGTATAGTCATCAGATCATCCACAAGAAGGAACAAACACTTTACGCAGTGAAAAAAAAAAAGAGGTCTGAAGTGTCATTTCAAAGACTGAGGAAAACTGAGGTAACAACACAGCTACTCTGCACATTGTAGTATTTCATCATAATAGATAAACAAGTGTTTCCAGCTGTTCATTTTCACACCAAGAGAAGCAGAGGGAAGACCTGAGGTTGGGTCATGTAAAGAATGCTGGTGACTCCATTGAAGAGGTAACACTGCAGTGGCTGGCCAGTGATTGGGTGAACAGGATGCAGGGGTGAGTAGTAAGGTTTTCCACTGGAGTGATTTTTGAGGCAGTTAACTGTAACAGTAAGAATAAAGGGAGACTGAACGGCTCACTTATGTCCACATCTGTAAACAGACAGTTATAAGAAGGGTTACTGAATGGTGAATCAGAGATCTATTATACTTCTGACCGGGCTCATCATGAGACTATAGAGTGAAGACATAAAAGGTCAGTGTGGAGTGTCACAGTGATGTGGACAACTGCTAAAATAGTTGGATGACAGGTACTGATCTAAACACTGTCTCTATTGTGTGTCTTTGTGGTGAAACTGCACATTAGGTCCTTGGGTTTCAGGGTAAAAGGACAACGGGAACGTGTTGGAGAAAGGCACATCCTCATCTTCTGTACGAGACAGTCGTTCAATCATTTAGGAGCCGTTTACTGTTTGATGGAGGACAGGAAAACATATGTTAACAGGACTGAACACAGTGCCTATATAAACACATCCAAGACGGTTTTCTACATCCTTAGTGTGTATATAAATCTGCAATGAGGACGTGAGGGGAAGGGATGTTAAGATACATCATGTTCACAGCCTTCTCTACCATGGGAGAAATAGCCAAAGCTCAGTACCTTCATTGCGACTACTGCATTTGCATCCTAAGAAGACGTCGCTTACCCTGAGTAACACAATTTAAAAATCCATGTTAGAGTAGGTGTGGGGGGATTTTATTACAGCAAGTATATATATATGTTATACTTAAGAATCCATATAGTGAAAATTGGTCACTTGAACCTTTTGTTATACTGAACAAGTAAGGTTGGACAATGTACAAATTGTGTTCTTGTAACTTGTTACTTAGAGTTCATGGAAGTTATCACATCCTTTTAAAATGTCACATTGTTTTATGTTGCAGCCCTATGCCAAAATCCAAAACCATTTTTTACCTCATCAATCTACACTTGATACCCTATAATGACAAACATTAAAATTGTTTCAAGACAAAGTGTATGAATAGTTATGTCAACATACAGTATATATTAATGCATTTGCAAACATATTTTTAAATTTCTAATTTGTATTTTGTCATTATGGGGTAGTGAGTGTTGATAAATGAGAAGCATTTTTATCTATATGCAACTTGGCTGCAACATAAATTGTGAGAAAGTGAAGGGAGCTGAACACTTTCTGAATGCACAACATGTATTGATCAACATTCTCATTGAGTCCAAGTGATCAGTCTGACATAGTTACCTCAGAAGTTTGGGGGTCGTCATCATCTGGCACTGGGATGATTCTACCACTCATTGGCCCCACTCCCAGCACCTTAGGCCTCTTCTCTGCTTTTGGTGTTCCTTCCAGAACAACAACAATGTACTCTCTCTGAGGCTCTTCTGCCAGGGACTCAACAGGGGCTGCAGCTGCTTCCTCCACCACAGCACTGGCTGCTTCTGCAGTGACGACTACTGCAACCTCCTCTACAGCTGTAGCAGTGACTGGTTCTTCAGCTATAGCTGAGGAAACTTCAGGTTCTACTGGAGCCGATGCATCTTGTGCAGCTTCCACTGGTTTAGCCTCTTCTACCACTGGTGCAGGAGCCTCCACAGGTGGTACCAAGGTCTCTTCTGCTGGCTCATCTACTGGTGCAGAGATTTCTACAACTGGTGCAGCATCCACAGGTGCAGGGGCCTCCTCAACAACTGGTGCAGCCTCCACTGGTGCAGGGGCCTCCTCAACAACTGGTGCAGCCTCTACAGGTGCAGGGGCCTC